AAGTTCCTAAAGCTATTCAGGATGAGATTAGACAATTTTTTAATTTAAAATAACCATAAAATGATGAAAATGAGCCTTGTTCTACGAAAATATCTGCTCTAGGTTCTTTTAGAAGTAGTGATCCGAGTTGAAAGTATGGTTATAACCCGAATCCGAATGACAAAAATCGTATTAAATGCAATTATTGCAGAAAGGATACTAATGGAGGCATTTATTGGTTTAAAAAACACCTTGCTGGTATTAAAGGGGATGTTGCCCAGTGTAATAATGTTCCTGAGGCTACCAGGGAGGAAATTATACAATATGTGAGTTCAGGGAAGCACAAAAGATAGAAAAGGGTAGAGCAGCCAAGACTCCTAGGGCCTCATCTGCACATACTAGTAAGAGGGAGGTAGAAGAAGATGAGGAAGAGGCAGATTCAGAAGAAACAGAGGAGGACGAACGTTATATTGAAGAGGGAGATGACTCTGATGATGATGGTATCGATTTCGATGCATATAATGAAGCTTACCTTATTCTTTCTGATGATGATGATGACTGAAGACTCTTGGTGTTGAGTGTTGACGGCTGACTGTTGTGCTGAGTGTTGCCTATTGTATCCTAGACTGTATATTTTCTAAATTTCTGTATATCTTCTTTTTCTTATTTTTAACTTCTACTCTCTAGTTTCTAGTTCTACTATCTAACTTTTGTGTGTACCGTCTACAGTTTATCAGATTATCAGTGTATGCTTGTATGGTTTTACTGTTTTAGCATTGTATGAAAATATGGATTATGGTCTTATGGATTCTCAAAATTCTCTTCTCAACTTCTATCTTTGGGATTATGGTTTTATAGATTATCAAAATTATTATGGACTATGGTCTTATGGATTATCAAAATTCTTATGGATTAATCATTATCAGTCATCACTCATCAATTTTTTTTTTTTTTTTCAACTAGGCTGCCCAGGTTCTTGACGCCCGTCTAGGCGTTGGGCGGCCTGGAGCCCCATGTCTGCCTGGATGCCGCCTAGCGCTTTTTAAAATATTGGGTACCATAAAAAAGGAGAGGCTTTGGATATGGTAGAAGTTATTCTAGACCACCTCTAGACAAAGTAAACCTTCAAGGAGATGCACACATGTAAGTGGAATGTTTTTAGCCATCCATCGCAAATCTTTAGGTAACCATCTTGTACCAGTAGTGATTATTTTGATAAAAACCTCTAGTCCCGCTAATGTCATGCAACCCATCCTAATTCACTCGTAGTGTTTCAGCTATGAGATAAAGATTATAGTACAAGGGAGGAAAGTGGAAATGAAAGGCACCATTACTGCAGACCGCGAAGGATTAATTATGGTTGTCCGCTAAATATAAAAGGAAAGCATGACAAAAAACAAAATAAAAAAAAAGACTTGGCAAATGACTAGTGTTTCAAAAAGTGCTAGGCGGCATCTAGGAGGCCGGGGGGGGTCCAGGCCGCCCAACGCTTAGGCAGGCGCCCAGAACCTGGGTGGCCCAGTAGGGATTTTTTTTTTTGGGATTTCTCTCCCTAGAATAGCCTCTAATGGGTTTTAGGCTTCAAATGAACCTAAAAACCACAATTTTTCCCTTTTAGTATTAAAATAATGACCCAAATATACTCTCAAAGAGCCGCATTTCTGCCCCTGGGTGGCCGCCTAAGCGGGTTCAGGCGGGCGCCTAAGGGCTAGGCAGTCCGCTTTTTGAAACACTACAAATAACCCATACAACTTCTAAAAGACATCGAAGAGGGACCCCTATACCTCTCACCTTCTCGGGCCAAAGTTTGACCATTATTTTGGCCCGAAGAACATTTAAGGTTGGGGTCTGGAATGACGCATACCTCTCAAGCATCGAAACTTAAATGCTTTCCACAACACCACAACATCATGAATCCACATTGAAATCATGCCTCACCTGCTTCAAACCTAGTATCAATTGGAGGGTTTAAAAACCAAGGACCATATCAAAGCCAGGTTTCTCCAGATACCCCTGACCCTAGTGGAAAGGAACAAAAGAGCTGAACTCTTAGCAAAGTAAGGGGACCAATCCACCTCGGCCCAAGCAAACCCCTAATGCCGAACACCTTTTCTTTTTCTTCTTTTTTCTCTCTTCTCTTCTCCTTTTTCTTTTTCCTTTTATATATGTACTTACAGTGCAGCACAAGCTGTGGAACGCCCCCCAAAGCTCCCTCTCCTCTCCACATAAAGATGTTTTCTCTCCTCTTTAACACCTTTCCTCTGTCTACAAAGACTTCTTCTTCGTCTCGCTCCTCCACACCCCCTCCCCCATTTTTACTACTCTCTCTCTTACCACTATCTTCTCCTCCATCCCACTGAAACCTTTCTTTCTGCAACCCCTCGCTACCTTTAATCATCCCTTTATATTTTTCTTCTACACAGGTTTTTTTCTTTTGACTTGTAAAAGCAACTGACAAATGTGGCTGCCACACGTAAACCTCATGGTTTTCTGTAAGAATACCTTATTATGAATATATATCATCAGACATTTCAAAAGAAGAGAAGATAAACTCAATGGATTTTGAAAGTAGGACAATGTGACCCGAGAAAGAATATACCGTTTAAAAGTCTTCTTTCCTTTTCTTTATTTCACTGCCCGGATCACTTACAAGTGTCCAGATACAACTCTAGATTCAAGAAAATACCAAAGTTATGCCAAGAACTCCCACTTGCATGCCATCAAACAAAAATTCATTCAATACGTGAATCTGAAAATTGCAAATAACTTTCAATGAGTTTAAGAAAACATGGAAGAAGATAATACGAATACCTTGCGTCAGGTTACCCCTCAAGAACTTCATACACCACACCAGGTTTCCTCCATCAATGGTGCAAAGAATCTTGGTCTTAATCTTGTCTCAAAGTTCAGGAAGCCTAGGCAAAACCTCTTGAGAGCATGATGGGATGGTAGAAAACTCAAAGCATAAAACACGAGCTCAAGCAATACTCAAAGACTAGGGCATGCCACCCTTTGTGGCTAGGGCGTGCCCCTTTGGGTTTCTCTAGGCTCAATATAATTCAAAACCCTAAATTAGAAGAGAAATAAGAGAGAGAAAGAGAGAGAGATAGAGAGTGGGGCGTACCTGCCTATGGGGAGAGACAAACCAATCTTTCATACAAGTGCAGAGAATGGAACCCCCAGAGAGAATATTTATAAAGAAAAGGTTAGGGTTTTGGGGTATAGGGTTGTGCCATCATTATGAGATTTAATCTTGACCGTAGATCTTGGAGACCTATTGGGTGAAGAGATCTTAGCCCTTCATTCCTTAGATCAACCATCATGATTGAAGGAATGAGCTAGGACCATTATCCTTTAGTTTTCATAACTCCATTCTCATCAAATATTTTGTTTAGAGAAAATAATAGATATTTACTTATTTAATTTTCAACAATCTCTACACTTTTCTCTCTTAAAATAATCATCCTTATTTGAAACACTTTACTATTATTTCACAACCATCTAGAAGGCTTGCTTGACAAGCCACATAATGAAGAAAGAGAAGGTGGGGCATGCCACCTAGTGTGGACCTATGTGGACCCCACGCCCCCACCTAGTGGGCCTCCTTGTGGTGGGCCCAAATCTCCAATGGGCCCCCACAACCTCAAATTAATGTTAGATTAATAAAACAAATTTTAGGAAATCAAAAAATATTCTCTCTAAAATAAATAAATTCAGAAAATTGATTTTAGCCTATTTAAAAATCCTTTTTATTGAAATAAAATGCTCATAAAGATCCAAAAAAACTCATTTTAATAATCTAAAATATAAATAAAATATAACTAAACATATTAAAATGAAATTTTTGGGAATTGGATCCGTAGATCAGGAATAACACAAATATACTGAGGATTAATCCCTTCTAGAAATTGCATCCCACTATCATCTTCTCAAACTAACACAACAGTTCCCATGACCCACAGTCGATCACAGGGGCTCATGCTTGGACCATCAAAGTTACTCAATAAAGGAAAGAGACACGATCCTAGTCCATGGACTATAGGTCCCTCCATGAAGACAAGTCCAGGTCCCATTCTAGCACATACCTCATGGGTTCCTTCCAACACAGTCCAGTATTGCAGGGAGACATCACTTCGGCACCTGTAGACAACACACCCTCTCCCAAAGGGCCGCTTCCCAGAATTCTATCTAGTGTACATGCCGTGCGATGGTAATGATGAGGATTTAGTCCTTGTCCTCTCCAGCCAACCACCACACATAAGGGTCACACCCAGTCCCTTGGTCAACCACCCTAGGCACAACTCCAACCTCATCAAGGATGAACCCACAATGAAACCCTATCGGTTGTGCACAAATTCCCAGGGCTACGGGTTTTGGACATCATCCCGAGCCTAGCCAGTCGAAACTCAGATGGGCCACAACATCAATGATGCCTCACAGTTCATCTAGACCACACTCCCACTAGAGCCATCATATCACTATACGAATAATTTCAGTACATGCTCTCGTAAGGCCTTGAAATGGCCACACATCCCCAACAGATTTTTGTTAAAAATACCTCATTTCTACGAACTAATTATATGGCATGTGAAATGCATCATTTTTCATTCCTTAATTTTAGTCTTTCTCAAAATTTTCTACATTTCATATTTTCTTCAATGTTTTCTCTATTTTGTTGAAATATTAAAGAACCAAAGTATTCCACATTTGTGCCATGCCCCCACATAACCCGAGGTCGAGAACAAGGAGAGCCTAGATCACCCGATTTCAGTGAGAATATGTCACAAGAATGCAATTTTCTAGTCGATTTCGCTAAAAATCATAATTGGCCCATTTACAAGACTGGTGTATGGATATTAAAAAAACTTCAACTAGAACCCTATACAGATTGGTTCCACGCATGCCATATGATACTTGTTTCTAATTGATGCAAGACGCCTCCTAGCCTTCTCCTTTTTTATACCTTTTTTTTTTTTTTTTAATGTTGATGCGCAACAAGTCATTCCAACATAAAACTTTACCTTACCAACACGGAAGTTCTCAACTATGCTATTCATCTTTTTCCTCGACATTGTCTTCAGCCCAGAGCGAAAGCCCACAAGATATTCACACTTCCAGAAGCCAAGACACTTTATATTCCCAAGTAGATGGGCTAAGGATCTTGCAGTGATGATCTGCTTAACGAAAATTATACATTTCACATCTTCTCGTAGCCTGTTACACAAAAAGAAACCAAAGAATGAGAGTAGAAGTGTTTTCATAAAGAATAAATCACGACAAGAGCTGCACATGCAACTCATACAAGGCATTCATCAAATACGAATATAAAAAGGAATACAGCATTGTCATTATTACCGATTGGACATCAGATTACTTAAAATACTATAGAAATACATTTTGGAATCATCATTGATGTACTAATTACTGGAAACATACTTCCACATGTCTATGGAAGAAACTAAGATGAGAAAAGAAGAAAAATGACAAATTTCATTAGAAAGTATCACCTACCCAGAAAAATCTTTAGGAAGTATAAAAGTCCGAGAAACAAATCACGCCTTTATGCACAAGTAAATACCTTTTACTAATGCAGTGGGTTTTACCATATAAAATATATATCTTGCACCTCAATAACCAGAAGTCTGTAAATGAATGATTCTTGAACACAACAACTCATCATGTCTTCAGAATATCAAGACATTTGTCAAGCCGACAGTTGATGAACGTCTAATAGATCTACCTTTGATGTCATTCTATGGAATTATTGTTATCAATAGAAAATAAAAACCATTGAAATCCCAAGCTCCATAATCTTGCAAGGATTAAAAATGTATCCTGGTAACTAGAATGATTTCTTTAAAACCTCTCAAGTTCTAATGAAAAATCGCTTCAACTTCCAAGAGGAAATCCTAAATCATATCAAGTGTGGGACTTCTTTTATCTTATTGTAAACTTATTCAAGAGAAAAGATTCTAAAACCACATGAGTGTTTTGATTAAACTCTCAGCTTGCAGTACATATTTTCATGCTGGCATGTTTTTACATATCATGGATTATTGCATCTCTAAGCAAGTGAAGAATCACTTCATATCTTGTATATATTATTGCACTTGATGCTCCATGCATAGATCCCCTTTCGATATCATGGCGAGACACTATGCAAGAATGCTAGGGTTCTTTCTTTAGGTTCAAAACGTTAAACTACAATTTTTTTTTGAAATTTCATACCCTTTAATGTCATATGTAACTATTCAAGTAACGTCAAGCTTTAATACAATTATGCACATAACATCCAAAAAGAAAAGACAACAAAAACACGCCAAAACAGTAACTATAAATACCATGGAGAAAAAGAATTTTTACATCCTTAAATCATAGTTCCCAAATCCATTTCAACTAAATGTATAGATTCCTTACCATGAGTGATGAGAACATTACCAAATCATAAGGTCCTTCAGTAATGATGTCCTGTCTTAGAAAAGGCTTACTTTCTTAAACAATTTCAACTTAATAAAACAAACATAAATTGTTCCACCATAACATAAGATTATTACTTTGGTCTAATGGCATGTCATAGGAATGTAAAGTCCCCAATCACACAATTCAAAAAGGATGAACCAACATTATAACAAATAGCCATTTATGCTCTATAATACAGGAAATAAAATAATTAAACACAAACCTGTAACTTGAAAGGATGCCAATGAGAACCAGCAATTTCCTTGATAAAAATGGCTCTTCTAAAGCCTCAGGAACAAATGCACCAGATTTAGTATCATCTGATAAGTCAACATGAGAAAGTATGGTTGGACCTTGACAATCCTAAAAACTACCACTCTAACATCGGTAAGGGAGCCAGTAAGTATCATCTAAGCACCAATTTGCAATGCATGACCATCCCATACAAAGTTCAATACAATATAGATGCAAAGGCATGTCCAGTCATAAAATTATTCCATCTAAATACTTTTGAGTTAGCATGTTTCATTATTTAGGTTGTAGTCAAGAATGTGAACTTAAATTCATATCCATATGAATCAAAATCCAAAGGACATGCTTGCACATTATATATTTGTTTGTTAATGAAATAGACATGGAGATGGGCCCTCTAGGTAAAAAGAACATTGTCAGTGTTGAAGGAATTCTAGGCAAAGGTAATATAAGGGAAATACTAGTGGAACCCTGGGGCCAGTAGCTGCAAACTTAGATTGTTTGTCTAGGCTTACGAGGAAATATATGTACGAGGGTCAACTGCACAATAATCAATTAAATCAACTATGAATCAAAGGTCATACTGAATATAACTCGTATGTACAAGCTTTGTAGCATGGATTCTTCACTTCATGCTTCATACCCGTGTCAGAAATAACTGGACATGGGTATGGGCAATGTTGGAGAAGCCGGTAGGAGGCGTCGAGGCACTGAGGGGTCTAGGCCGCCTAAGTGGGAGCCTGGAGACATGGGCGCCAAAATGTCCAATTCTTCTTTCACCATGTGAAGTATGTGGCCATAGGTAAAATCAACGACCAATCAATAGGTTTGGTTAGTAACAGAGAACATGCTTGTGCTAAACATGACTATTTCAATTGTACATCCTACTTTCTCCATCACCATCCAACCACACCATCCAACCCAATGATTGGATGGTGATAACCCTGACAACCATATGCAATATAGTCCTAATACGTGAAATCAACGACCAATCCATGGGTTTGGATAGTAATGAAGAACATGCTTGTGCTAAACATAACTATTTCAATTGTACATCCTACTCTCTCCATCACCATCCAACCCAATGGTTGGATGGTGATAACCCCGACAACCACATGTAATATAGTCATATGACCATAGCCTATGTAACATGATGTATGTCAATGTTTTTTGGCACATGTCAACACGTCGCAACACAACACAGACCCTTCATAAACTTAGATACTTCAATTGGACCCTTCGTAAACTTAAACACTTCAATTTAACTTTTTCTTGTTCAAATGTCACTAGGAAAGTACTTACTTTAAATCACAACTCCTCCCTCCTTTAAAAAATCTATGGGCGTGTTACATCTAAAAGGCCAATTCTAGAGTTGGCGTTTCTGACACTTGTATCAGTGGCGAAAGCACCAACTGCAAAATTGGCCTTTTAGATGTGACAAACCCATACACTAAAGCATACTTTAGTATTAACTATAACCAAATAACTAGTAAAACAAATACCTTTCCAAAGAGCATCGTTTAATACCAAGGATGCCTCCCTCAAATACAGGTTTGCCACACAGTTTTCATCTGTACTGGTGTCCATGTCAAGAGCTGCCGCAAGTTCGCTATGATCTCCACTTAGAAGGATGTGAGCAGCCTAAACAAAAAACACAAATCTTACATTTGGAGAACACTCAATTATAGTACAACAAAACAGAATCCAAAATCAACGAAAAGCATAAAAGACACCATGAGAGAAAAGAAGGAATGGAAACACAAATTGTTTATGCAATTGTATATTCCATATAGATGGCATCAACGATGTCAATAACGCATATACACCATCATGTGCATATGAAATTAAAGTAAGTTAATCCAAAACCAACTATTCAAGAATCTTCTTATTCTCAATATGGTAAGTACTTAAAACCAGTTTCTTACATACGTTAATATATTTGTACATCCGTTAATATTTTTGTAGATCACAAATTTGAAAGCCCAATTGCATAAAAACCATTACAAGAATCTGATAAATTTGAATGTGTAACACAAAGAGAAAATCTGCATACTTTCTTATCTAGATCCTGAGAGTTAAGTGCCATGACCTATAAAGGATGGTAGTTTTGGGATGAAAATGCTGTAGTTTGTTGTAGTACTGATGTGAATCGAAGACGAGCAGTACAAACATGAAAATATGCAAGAACTTGCAGTATGTGTACTTAGCAATTTCTCAAAATAAAAAGATCCTTTAATTTTCAATTTCAAGTTAACTGAATACCTCTAAATCCTTGCTAGAAAAAGGAGAATGGCAGTGGGATCAAAGAAAAAGACAAGTCCTTGCATGGTGACCCAACGCGATTGGGTGATTGGGATGATCTAGAGCTTCAAGCTTCAATGTTCTCATAGCCAATCTCTCATTACATAGGTAAAAGGGAGCTTTGCTCTCAAAGTAATGTTCCAAAACCAAAAGTCCAAATGCCAACCATCATAAAAGAGAAGTAGATCATAGGAAGGTTGGGCTGCCCTCTCGTGGGGCTGCCCTCTCGTGGTTTCAGCAGAACGTTTTTTTTTTTTTCCTTTTTGCTTTTTGTTAAGATTGGGAGAGAAGAGAGAGATAGAGAGCAATATTCAAACACAAGTAAATACATATGTTTTTCACACCCTACAAATCATAGGGCAATGCGCCCTATATATGCCTGTATTCCTGTGGGGGTTATACTATGGGTAGGTCAAGATGACACACATTACAACCATTACAGTAGAAGTTACAATAATTGTTACAAGTTCGAATGGGTATGAGGCATAGTAACTGAGATCTCCTCCCTTGCTTGGCGATCTCTTGCAGAACCTCGATTCTCTCGATCCCAAAGCAGAACTCATCTGAAACTCAATTTAGTGTTTCCGGGATCTCACTCCATCTTATAAGGGAACGAGTTCCTTACCTGAACAATACAGAATCTAATTCCCTATCTTATGGTTCAAGCTCCAGAGTGCATTGGGATCTAGATTCCAAAATAACAGAACACAAGCATCGCAATATATGGCATCCAGATCCCACTAATATGGGATCGTTTTAAAGTTCCTTATTTATTTCATAGAATGATTAAATCTACATGTTATTGGTTAACGACGCCAGAAGCTACATTGTAAAGCCATGGATACTTATTACCTACACGAGGAACCCGTGTTTTAAGAAAATGGAGCTCGCTCCTATAAAAGTTATTCCTCTTTCCATAATATTTCGGATCACTTATAGTAATGCGCTCCCTGAGTTAAGAAACTCAAAAAAATGCCTTTGGGAACTTCGCTTCTTATGCATAAGATCACGCACCTTTATATAATAATTTTCGATCCTATGTAATAAAGGAGCTCGCTCCCCAACACACATGGACCTCGATCACGACCTTTGAGGTTGTACAGGAATCGATCCCTAACACAGAGATCTTCAGTATAGCTTCGATCCACCTATCCCGCCACCGATCCCGGAACCATTCTCGTTCCCGTACCCAACAACTATGGTATGAGGTCCATTATTCATAAGACTTGCAAGTCTTAATAAGCACGATTCCATAACACCATAACAACGACTTCATGAGGCCGATTATGCATAGGAGTTAGAACTATTACATATGTTTTCAAGAGCCCATAATAGTTGCAACACTCCCCCTCAAGCTAGAGCATATATATCATAGATGCCCAACATTCCCAAAGTATCCCTTAGTCGAACTCAATTACAGGCCTTCGTAAGTATGTCTGCCAATTGATTCTCGGAGCAAACAAATGGGGTACATATTGCCTTCGAAGCAACTTTTTCCTTGACAAAATGGCAGACGACCTCTATATGCTTGGTTCTTTCATGAAATACTAGATTCGAGGCATATAAATTGCCACTTGATTATCACAATGTAGAGGAACAAGAGTTGATACATTAACACCCGTCTCTTGAGGAAGAGAACAGAGAACTAGATTCTCTTTTAACAAATATAGAATGATAAAAAACACTTCTTTGAAATCCGATTTGACATATTCCCATACTACATTTTTTGAACCAAGCCCAAGGTTGTTTCAATCCATATATAGCTTTCCTCAACTAGCAAACCTTCCCTTTCTCCCCTTGGGGATAAAACCCAGATAGTAATTCCATATACACTTCCTCTTGCAAATCTTCATAGAGAAAAGCATTCTTCACATCTAGTTGGCGAAGTGGCCATTCTTATTTGCTGCAATAGATAAAAGTACTTGTACTGATTTCAACTTTGCCACAAGAGCAAAAGTCTCCTTATAATCAACCACATATAACTATGTAAAGCCCTTAGCCACTAGACGAGCTTTGTATTCTCAATCGAACCATTTAGTTTGCGCTTCAGGGTATGTTCCCAATTGCATCCTACCACATGTTCCGATCAATTACATCCCACGTTCACTGCTTTTCTAAGGCAATCACTTCCTCAATCATAGTTGCTTTACACTGTGGATGACCCGATGCATTTGCAACTTTGGCAGAAATAGAAACAGAGGAAGTAGAGCAAAGGCATACAAGAAAAGACACAAACTTACTAATCAGATGAGAAGTACATTTCCTTTTTTCTTTTATTATGGCAATAGGTAAATTGAATTCATAAGGTATAGGGACGGGAGGACAAGAAGCACCTAACGAGTCAACAAGTTGGAGTTGATCGTTTACATCGGACTTTCCCATGTTCTTTTTATGGGTGTACACTTTCAGTTGTTTCTTAGTAGACTCCACCTATTCCTTAGTTAGATGACTAGAACTACCTGTGATCATTGTAAGAGGAATAGGATTGTCAGTTGGCATAGTGGATATCGAATCTCTTTGGGAAGAAAAATAAGGTATATTCTCAAAGAAGGTAACATCCTTAGAAACATATTTTCTGTTAGTTTCCATAAAGTAACACTTGCATCCTTTCTGAGAGTTCGAGAATCCAAGGAAGGATACATCCTTTGAAACATATTTTCTTTTAGTTTCCAGACAGTAACACTTGCATCGTTTCTGAGAGTTCGAGTATCCTAGGAACACACATCTGGTAGATTGAGGTCTTAATTTATTCCTAGCTGGCCCAAATGTGCGCACAAAGCAAACACAACCAAAAAATTTTAGTGGAAGAGAAAACAAAGTAAGTGTATGGTGGAGAAGTTTGAAAGGATAAGAACCATCAAGAACAAGTGTAAGTATTCTATAGATCATATAAGCAGCAGTAATAACTGATTTATCCCAATGTCTTAGGAATCTTCATTCCTATTGAGATGCTTCTCACCGCTTCTAACAACTATTTTTCCGTTCTGCCATACCATTCTGTTGTGGTGTATAAGAACATGATGTTTGAGTTTCTATACCATGTTCTTGAAAATAATTCATTAATTCATTGTTTAGATACTCGCTTGCATTATGAGAACGGAAAATTTTTATTTAGGTCTCAAATTGGGTATGAACTATTTTATGAAATACTTTTACTATTGAAGGTACTTCATTTCTACTTTTCATAAAGTAAAATGAGTGTAGTCATCGATGACTGAGATAAAATACCGATATCCATAAACAGAAGTAACAAGAGCAGGCCCCCAAACATTAGAATGAACAAGATGGAAGGGCTTAGAACTTTTATTTTTACTAGAAGGAAAAGAGGTTCTACAATGTTTAGACATTTGACAGGTCTCACATTGTAGGAACATTCAAAGAAACAAACTTATCTGGAAACAACAACTTTAAAGATTTCATAGACATGTGGCCTAAGCGGGTATAGCACAAGAGGACTTGCTCATGACTACGAGATTCAGTGCTAAGAGCAGTAGAAGTGCATCCCGTGTTGAATAGGTAAAGCCCATTGTTTTCACGACCACCACCAATCGTCTTTCGCATTTTCAGGTCCTGAAAAACACAATCTCGGTTAAAATGTGGCACTACAATTTAGTTGTTTTGTCAAGTTGCTGACATAAAGAAGATTGGAAGGGAAAGAAGGCACATGTATTATAGAGAATAAGGAAAAGGATGATGAAAGTTTATATACCACTCACAGAGGCACTGATCATGGATCTATCAGCAAGTTTAACTTCCCCAAAGCACTAGGTTTTGCTCTTAAGTGTGGATGCAAGTCCCAACAACGCTCTCGCGAGTGGCTCCTCTTCCCACAATGGGAGCATTTGAGTTTCTCCTTTATAGCAGGAGACAGTGGAGCACGATTTGGCCCTTTCCTACCCACTTTTCCTTGCTTGAAGCTTGTTGCAAAGGCTGATCATGTATGGTGAAAGCTTGAGTTTTGTCCTTCTGCAATAGCTTTTCTACTGGCCTCCCCCCTTACATAACTATAGACAGATTCAAGAGAGGGCAATTTGTCCTTTCCTAGAACCTATACTCTCTAAAGTTCAAAGCCAGGATGCAGGCCTGCTAAGAACTCAAAGATCCTTCTTTGCTTGGACTGGTTTTTAATGTCATCAAATGTGGGATTAATAGGCTGATAGTGGTCTAGTTCTTCCCATTTATGCCTTAGCATCCCAAAGTACTCTTCTATTCGCTATTTCATGATGCAAGTGGTAAATCTGAGCCATATCATGAGTATGTCTTGGCTACTGCCTCCCATATATCCTTTGCAGCCTTAAGAAACAGCAGCCCCCGCTGATACTTAACTACATGGAATTAAA